CGGCAAACACCCCAAGACCATCTCCTGGACCCTGAGTTTAAACAGAGCCAAAGCCATGAACTACGATCTAGGCAGGCCCAGTCCAGGTGTCCTGCCTACCCTTAGCCCATCGTTGTCTGGGCTTCCGTTGTAACCTGTTAGGTGGTCTGGCAAGTTGTGAGAACTGGGTGAAATTTCTTTCTGAGAGCCAGGTTCCCCCTCTGGCTGGCCTTTGCCCTGGGTAAATCCTCATTTCTCTGGGGCCCACGGTTTTCGGCAGTCTGATAGATTGAGGGACTCCAGTGTCTGCCTTTAGGTAATATCTCACCGTGTAGCACTGGGTGTCCTGGAACGCACTGTGTAGACCAGGCTGGCTTCATACTCAGAGATACACCTGCCTCTACCTCAGTGCTAGGATTATTAAAGGCGTGGTGGCACCTGTCGGCTACACAAGTGTCTCACCTGTCAAGCTGGTTACACTTGCACCCTGTGGACCTCCAGGATTGAGCTCGGGTTGTCAGGCTTGGTGGCACCCTTGCCGGTGAGCCGTCTTGCTGACCCTTGTTAAGGGAAGTGTGACTTAGTAAGACTAGTTTTGTGAGCAGTGCCAGCCAGCCAGTGGCTACCAGCAAGCATTTGTGCATCGAGTGCACCAGCCAGTAATACAGAATGAGATCTCAGCGCTTTGTGCCCTGTTTTCTTGAGCTTGTGAGCTACTTCAGATTGTATTTATCGTGATTTTTTTTTTTTTTTTTTTTTTTTGCTTTCCTTTAGTTAACTGAAGTTTTCCAAAACCTCTATGTCACCAGTAGTTTGTTAAGCATTGTATCCACTGCTCTAAATTGAAGGTGGAGATTATCAGTTTGCAGACTTCTTGCTGCACCTGTCCTGATGGCCTTGCCATTTATTTCTCTCTGCTGTCCCTCCTTAGCCAAAACTTGAGCTCCGTAGAACAGATTGTCCCACAGAAACACAAGGCCTCGTATGCCTGGCAGCAAGGGAAAGCTTCCCTTCAAACAGCCCCCCTCCAGAACTTCTGAGTTAGTGGTGTGTTTACAGCAGCAGACCTTTCATCAGCATCTTCATTAAACCAGGGGTGCTCTGGTAGGATGGAGTGGCGAGCCCTCCTTCATAGACTCCAGCCATGGTTATATCAAAGCCACTCATTTATATTAATCAGTGTGCAGACTGGGGCTCATCTGGGCCGTTTGTGCCCAGCTGGTGGCTGAGGAGATTTCACCCCTATTTGGCCACAGTTGCTGCTGCTCCCTGCGCTCTTCAGAGGTCGCCGCCTCAGTGAGGCAGCCAGCCTGGAAGCTCCCTCTAGCTGAGTGCTGGAACGGAATCCACCTGAAACAAGACAAGGTGTTTGAGCCCAGTTTGTAAATGATAAAGAACCTTACAGATATTAGAGGGTGTCAGCAGTCTCTGCGGGAGAATGCTGTACTCACTCACCCAGGCCCACACGCCCCACCCTGGACTTGCGGTGAGCTTCATTTGAGCTAGGAACTAAAACCCGATCCCTGCCGCTCTGATACACCAGGCTTCCTCTAACTCTATTTCTTTCCTTCCTTCCTTCCTTTCTTTCTTTCTTCCTTCCTTCCTTTCTTTCTTTCCTTCTTTCAAAGATTTATTTTTATTTTCTGTTTACCACATGTGTGCCTAGCACCCTCAAAGGCCAGAAGATGCTGCTCTGTGTTCATATGTTCCTAAACAGAAAGATGAATTCCATGTTGGATCCCCTGGAGCAGGAGTTACAGACCGTTGTGAGCTGCCATGTGGGTGCTGGGAGCCAAACCTAGGTCCTCTGCAAGAACCTCAAGTCCTCTTAACCACATAGCTATTTCTACACCACCACCACCCCTTTATCTATAATTCTATATTTTCCTGATAGCATGGATGGCCTGTATTTTTCTCCATGCTTTAGAACCAAGAGAGATGAGTCTAGAAAATTTCACAGAGAAAGGAATCAATGGAAATTCAGATGGATCTGGTGGTGTAGGCTATAATCCCAGCGACTCAGTTCTTATTTTAGATGGTTGTGAGACACCATATCATTGCTGGGAATTGAACTCATGACCCGTGGAAGAGCAGGCAGTGCTCTTAACCTCTGAGCCATCTCTCCAGATGGAAGAGATGACTTGGTGATTAAGAGCATTTTCTGTGCTTGCTAGGGATCTGGATTTGGTAATCATACCCATGTCAGGCAGCTGTGAGCTGCTTGTAGCTCCAGTCCTTCAGGACCCTCTTCTGACTCCATGGACATGTGTAAGCATGTGGTGTGCATACAAGCAAGAAAGCACACACACACACACAAAGTGGGGCTTGTTTGTTTAAGAGCCTGAGTCAGTCATGCCTACAATCCCAACACTCCAAAGGCAGAGTCAGGAAGACCTCTTTGTAAGTTCAAGGCCAGCCTAGCCCACAGAGTGAGTTCCAGCCAGCACCGTACAGTGAAACCCTGTCTCAAAAACAGAGTGCAATATGCATGAGTTCTTTATGTACACATTTGCAACTTTAAAGCAGATGAAAATTAAATCCATTATTCTTTGATACGATTATTTAAATGAACATTTACATGTGCAGTGGACAAATTAACCTAGGGTACAGTCAACTCCTTCAGGCAACAGTTCCTGTTCTTCATGCTGTCCCTTCCGCCTTTTGTTTCTCTTTTTCTGGTTGCCATGGCAACGTACGTATATGTTCAGATACAACCACTTGTAAATACAGGTCATTTATAAGCTATGAACATAGCAATTGTGTTAATAGAAAAAGAGGCAGAACAAGATGTTTCTGTTGCTTCTGCCTTGTCTGGGATTTCAGAGGGGGTAAATTTCTGGGTTATCCAGAGCCAGATCTACTGTTAAAAGTTCATGCCATCATTTTAACATGCCACATTGGACTTTCTCTTTATAAACCCCTCTTCATATTTCCAGTGCTGGTCTCAGGGCTCCAACTGTTTCAAACCCACAGCATCTCTTGGTGAGTGATTGATCTGTGTTTGCGTCCAGCCATCAGGGCGATCTTGGGATGCTGCTTGTATGAACTGTAATCCAATCTGACGCTGTAAGTTTCATTGCAGTCTTTCATAGACCTATTGGTGATATTCAATCCTTCTGGGTTTGGGACTAGGGCTTATCTGATACTTTGAGGAGAAAACCATCCATTCATTTTTTTTTCTCTGTTCCCCACTTAAATAACTCAGCACATCTGGTAGTACCGTAGGATCATTGTGCTTCCAGTTCCTCTGTAGCTTTCATAGCTATAATATTCCTTGAGTATTTAGTTACCTAAGGACAATGTGATTTCAGGAATGGGGGTGGTATGGGTCTTACAAATTAACTCAAGTGCAGGGCTAGAAAAAAATATGCCTTTAATCAGCAAATTTCCCTATCAATAGCAGTATGCAGTGTGAATATAAATAGACATAAATGTTCGCGTTAACATTTTAAAGCAAGTCTTTCTTCAAATCGATGTCATTTGCCTCTAAGAAAATGCTTATTAAAGACAAGGTCCCCGAGATTGAAGCGTCTTCATGTTTAAGTGGGCATCCCCTGGCTCTCTTCAGTTACAGCAGTGGTAGAAGCTGAAACAAAATCCTCTCATTCAATCAGAACTGAACTGAATTTTAGGAAGCCAAGAGCAGAAACCAGATCCAGGCTGCATAACATAGGAGGTTAAATAGTCCCAGTGTAGAGACTTGAGGAGATGGTGGGGATGCTGTAAGGAACTCTGTTTAGAATGGCTGTGTTGAACATGACCAAATATCCAGCTATTTTAGCCTCTTGAATTAAGATGCTCTATGTGAACAATTACATAGAGACCACTTACTGTTTGCTTGGTTCACGTTGTAGAACGAGTTCAACACATTTGATTTTGCTTGGGTTTGGTTTTTCTTTGTTTTCTTGTAGTTGAGCCTTAAATACTAACAGTTTTGCTAAATTTGCTAATTCTGTCAAAATTTTCAGTGTTTTTGGTATATTTGACCCAGGGGTCATATACCAAATATGTCCATTCTTTATTGTTGGTGGTATACCAGGGCCCCAGACTTCAGTAACCCCAAGACCTTAGCACAACTGACTCCATGATACAAGTACCATTTAGGCTGTAAAACACAGTGCGTACACAGTACCACCTACCAAAACTGAAACTCCACAGCTATGGACAAGTCTCTAAGTCTACTAACCTTGCTCTTGGGCTTCTGTAGATCTGCTTGTACTGCTCTTTTTAATTGAAATATGTCAACCTAGGACATGGTTTTGAGTTTAAAAGCTGTCCCTGAGAAAATCTCGCACTTTCAGAGACCCTGAACACTCAGTGTAGTCACAGGCTGGCTTAAAAAAAAAAAAAAAAAAAAAAAAGCTTTCTGTTGTCTTAACCCATGCCTCAGCAGTGTTCAGTTTTTCTGAGACAAGGTCTTTCTGTATAGCCCAGGCTGTTTTGGAATTTGCTATATAGTCCAGGATGGCCTTGAACTCACTGAGATCTGCCTGCCTTTCTTTGCTTGGGCAGTGATGGGATTAAAGGTCCAACTCCATGGTGTATTTTAAGTACAATGGAACAAACTCTTGAAAGGGGAGCCATTTTCTTACTGTTTCTATTCTTGTTGTATGAAAATTAGCATTGCAATGGCTCCCAGAATGGGCATTCTGAAGAAATATACACTTGACAGAAATAAACATCCTGAAAATAATTGAGTTAGTAGTTCATTCATTATCTGAAATTTAAAATTACGTTCAAAGTGGGTGTTGCTGGATTTTCGTGTATACTGGTGAAATGCTATGCTCGTAAGATTTTCTTTTTGCTTGAATTACGAGGACCAGAAAAAAGTTGGATCACAGCTTTAATATCCAGGTGGGCAGTCCATTTGCCAGAATCTTTGCACATCACGCCAGTTTTTCTGTCAGACACAAAGCCGGCATTGTGACTGAGCCTCCTGGAGTTTAAAAAAGAACGTGTAGCTACACCTTTGAATTGTTCATTTTTTTTTTTTTTTTTTTTTTTTTCTTCTTGTCTTTTAGGTTTCGGAACTTTTAGCAAGTGCTCTTATGGACTTGGTGCAAGGCGTATACCAGGAAAACTCTGCGTCGTCAGCCAAGGTACAGAGTTCCGAGCCCGTGGTAGGAAGAACTGCTGCAAAGCCAGGGTCAGGCGGCAAGCTTTCCATTCTTGCTCCGTGTTTAAACTGTATGTGATTTTTCTTTTCTCTTTCCTTTTTTTTTTTTTTTTTTTTTTTTGTTTTTTGTTTTTTGTTTTTTGTTAGTGTTTTGGCTACAAATTCATGGCCATACGCTCAGTACATAGCAGCTTTAGCCAATTAATACAACCTCTTCTCCTCTGGCTGGAATCTCAGTCTGTTCAGTCCGCAGCAGCCATGCAGACAGCAGGGCACTGCTGGCTGGCAGGTAGCACCATCAGAAGGGGCCGCTGGCAGGGAGGAGCACTTATCCTGAGGGGCTGGGCCCAGCTGCTCCCCAGAGAAAGCCGGCTCTGTGTCAGCGAGCTTGGGTTTGGCCGGCCAGCCGGCAGGAAGGGCGGGCCGAGAGCAGAATGGCTTTTCTAACCGAGGTCCAGAATTGACGGCGTTGTTAGAGCCTCAGCGATAGAAATAGGACTGTTGCACACTTGGATTGTTTTGATTAATTTTATAGGTTTGGAATGAGGGCTTTTTGACTCATTTAACAGGTCATCTCAAGAAAGGTTAGGTTTTATTTCCTTAAAATGCAGTTATTTCATTTCAGTGGGAGATGAGATATGGGGTGCATGCTTCATCGCCCAGCACAGTCATTTACCATAACACCTACTGTTAGAAAGGGTTCCTCTCCGTGTCTCATTACTGTAACTCCCTTAACTCCTATAGTAGCAAGATTTTCCTCACTGCAAATTAGGAAAAAGAAAATATGCGTGTATGCACATCCGAAGCACTGACATGTCCACTTCAAAGAAATCAAATAAAATAAAGGCAAATTTTTACTACAAGTGGAACATAGGGCATGAGCAACTTAGATTTAAAATTATATATATATATATATATATATATATATATATATACATATATACATATATGTGTGTGTGTATATATATATATTTTTTTTTTTTAATATGAAGTAACTGGATCTCTGGAAGGTTAGTGAAATGTGAAGAATTTTATACCTTGGACATCTGCTAGCATTTGATTCCAGGAAGCACCATCCCCAAGGGACACAGCTGACCTCACCCTAGGGGCACACTGGTGTGTGGGGACCTCACAGTAGAGCACAGAGGACCATTTGCTGGATTTTTCAAAGACAAGAGCGGCTCTCTGTGCGACTGAAGGGCAATATCAAATGGTGGGAGGGTGAGTTATGATCTAGCTTCCCTCGACAAAAGTCGCCTTGCACGTAACATGGAGGTGATGCAGCTAAGCTAGTGGCATTTTAAATGTGTGCCTGCTCCTCATTTCATCATCACGAGAGAGAGAGAGAGAGAGAGAGAGAGAGAGAGAGAGAGAGAGAGAGAGAGAGAGAGAGCTGCCTCCGGTTTGAGATAAGAAGGTAGAGAGTTAGGAAAGATTGAATGATTTTCAAGGTTACACAGCTCACTAGCTAGGATTTGAACTTAAGCCCTATGGCCTTAGCCTCTCACTCTACCTCAACAAACCCTGACTTGATAGTTTCCGTAGGCCACACCTAAGGTCTGACCAAAGAGTTACTACAGCGGCCTGGTGCAGTGGAGGCATGGTTTTCCCTGCAATGCTTCTGAGGCGTTCGTTCGACTTAGCGCCACGTAAGGTATCCATCAATACTGCTAGTGTCTGCCCATCTTGTGCTTTAGGGTGTTTACTTGCTGAAATGAAATGCCGTGATAAGTTTAGCTGGACTCAAAACAGTCTGCCACGAGTTCAAGGCTAAACTTGAACCACAAATGACATCTAGGCCTGAGATATAAGCGAGACTATCTCAAAACAAAACAAAAAGAAGCACACTCACTGTGTAACCCTCCTGCCCCTGCCTTCCTTCGCCTTCCCACCCTGAGGGCATAGGTGTGTGCCACACTCACTTGAGGTCCTGAAGTGAGTGTGCTATTGTTGGTTTGGTTGGTTTGCCGACCTACTGCTTGGGCACTGTAGTTGTCCTACCTCGCTAACAGTTGTGTGAACATCTGGGAAGTACTGTACACTAGACAGCCTAACTAGTAGCAGCAACAATAAATGACCACATCAGTTTTACAGTTACATTGTTGGCATCATGAGATGAGTAGGGGGATGATCTCACTTTATGGATGAATATCTTCCTATTTAGAGCTGATAAATAGCATCAAAGTCTAAAGTCTAAAACTTATTAAGTTGCTGAAGAGTTGGAGGGTTAGATTTGAACTCAGGGAGTTGGTTGTTGTTGTTTTTATTTTTTATTCCAAGTTTCATGTGATGGACCAACTACTGAGTGCATTGGCTGATTTTTCTCATGAGCTAATAGATTTTCTCAAAAGAATATATAGCGGTGCTTTGTTCACCTGCCCCCCCCCCCAAACAAGGTCCTTTAAAGATTCAAAAAGTAGCTAAACCATTTGAAGATTCATTATTTTTCAATGATGGAAACAGAAGTGCATAGCTGACCACAGCCGTGGGAGTGATTTATACAGCCTGAATTTGTACCCCAGGTCATTTTCCTTCCTAACCAGAACCCACCCCCACCCTTCCTGAGTGTGCTTGCCATTACACTGAAAGGGATCACTTCAAAGGCAGAGGGAGAGAGGGAGGGAGAGGGAGATCGCAGCCCCTCCCACGCACAATCACACAGACTGGGTTGGCATGTTCTGGTGTGATTGAGAAGTTGCCACCGGCAGAGGTCATGTGGGAAGTGAGGCTCATGCTGTGGGTCTCTGTTGCTCAATCTCCTCAGCCTTGAGCCAATTCAGTGCAGAACCGCTTTGAGATTCAAGTGAGCTGCAAATCGTCTCATCTCTCTAGAGATAAAAGAATACGATAGTGCTCTGTTTTCCATGTGCCAAGTTAATGCAGTAATGGAGATCCGTAGCAGCAGCTCACCTTTCTGGTGAGTACCATCTGTGGACTCAGAGTGCAGTAAAGTGAGAGATAGTTAGAACTGGGTGCTTTCTAAATCACCTTCTACAGAAATGTATACATACCTAATTTTCCTAAAGCAGTGAAAACACACAACTTACATTAATAATATTTAGTAGAGCGTAAGTAAATTGTGATCATGGAAACATGTAAAGTAATTTAGGAAATTCATCCTTTGTTCCACTCATTGTAAAAAAAAAAAAAAAATATTTTTACTCTTGCATTTACTAGCTTGTGAACCATTTCTTCCTTACAATAAAAATTAACCCTTGTACTATTGGTATAAGAAAAGATTTTAACCTGTTTTTTTTTTTTTCTATAATAGCTAATTAAAGAAACCAATTAAAAGCAAGATGTAGTGGTACACACATTTAATCCCAGCATTTGGGAGTCAGAGGCCAGCCTGGTCTACAGAGCTCCAGGCCAACCAGGGTTGCTTAGTAAAACCCCGCCCCAATAAATAAACAAATAAACAAACAGACAAATAAATAAGATGGGGCTGGAGAGATGGCCTAGTGGTTAAGGGTTCTTGACTTCTTTGAGAGGACCTGAGTTTAGTTCCTAGCACCTACCTTAGGCATGTCACAACTGCCTGCAACTCATTCCAAGGAATGTGAGGCCCTCTGGCCTCCTGGGGCACCTGCCTATATGTGGAACACATAACATAAACTCAGACAGACACACATGGATACACACAAATAATAAATGGATCTTTTTTAAAAAATGAGGAGGAGGGGGGAGAAGCAAAGACCGCAGTTAAGGAGAGAGACGGCATCTTACGCAGTCATTTGCCAGATATTTGCATTGCCAGCCCATGCTGCTTTATTACACACCATTTCCAACCCTCACACCAATTCCTTTTTATAGCAAGGAATAAAATGTCTCCTTCAAAATTCCCAGCTATTCGTAGATTAAAAGGCAAGCTGCTGTTTGCAGCAATTCGTATATAGTCAGTGAAACTCTCTAAGCATTATTTTATACATCAGTGGTGCAAAGGGGAACCATGTCACTCCGTGCCTAAGACAGTGAGTAAACTACTGCGAAGGGGAACTCAAAGGGTCTCTCTCTCTTTAGTGATGTATTGCGTGGTTGTAAGATTAACACCAAGCCTAGAACCTTTGCTTAAAGATTTCCAGTAATGTATTGCCAGAGTACTTTTCTGACCCCTGGGCGGGTCAGCACTGGGATGCAAACCCAGGCCTCACACGCCGTGGGCGAGTAAGTGCTTTACAGGTGTCAGCCCTGCTCATGCAGAGTGCACATGACCTCAGTGTACTTGACAAATACACATTTTAACATTGATGTTGCTTCAGCAAAGTTAGGATATCATCTCGCTGTCTCCACCTCTCTCTTGTTAGTAAAGTAGCTACATGATCAACAAAGAGTTGAAAATACTGTCACAGATGACGACACAGACCTGTAATCTCAACAGCTGGGAGGCAGAAGAGGGGTTGATGCAAGTTCAGGACAAATCTGGCCTACATAGTGAGTTGCAGGCCAAGCAGAGCTACCCGGTGGAAACAGAACCGAAACCCTGCAAAAGATCAGAAGAAAATATTCTTTGATTCCCAGCACTCACACGGCAGCTCACAGCTTTCTATTGTGCCAGTCCCAGGAGATCTGACGTCCTCTCCTGGCCTCCAAGGGCACGAGGCACACACTCAGACATATATGCAGGCAAAGTACCCATATATACAAAGTAAAAAAAAAAAAATGTATTTTTTAAAAAAGTCTTCAAAGTTTGATTTTAGTGTCTACTTAATAGTTTTTTTCATAAGTACTATACTGTAAATTACTGAGCCAGTACACAAATTTTGTGTTTGCATTTTTAAGTAGAATAACATCTTCATGCATATAACTCTGCTGTATTTCACACTTTGCATTTAAAAAAAAAAATGTGGAGCTCAAGATGAAGCTTAGTGGTAAAGGACTTGCCTAGAGTACGCCAAGGCCCTGGTTACGCTTCCAGAAACTCCCCTCCCACACACGAACTCTGATGCTCACAGCCAAAAATAAGACCGTTTTATATCTGCATAT